TTATAGAACTGATTCTAATTGGTTCCCAAATTAATTTACACGGCTTCCAATAAAAAGATAATTCGTAACTATCTAATGGCCAATTTGTGAAGTATAATTGTGTTAATTGGGTCTAGTTTTGAGGATTTCATTTTTATTTTTAAGCGCCATCTAGTTGACAGCTGTCGTACTACAATTCATAAATGACTACAATGACTTGTAATAGATACTATATTTTATCAATAGAAAGCGCACTTAAATATTTTTAATATCGAACAAAAATATGTTGTACTTTCGAACAACTGTTATATGTTCACATATATTCTTTTTCTCTTTTTAATTTTGTGGTATTGAACCAATATGGATAAAATTTTATACGTTTTATGAATTTTGAACAGAGAAAAAAAAAATGTTTTTTTTTATCAGGGAGCAAACGGCAGATAGTCAACGACACCCATGGACATCTGCAACACCAGAGGAACTGCAGATGCGTTGCCGGCCTTTAAGGAAATGGTATGCTCGCTTCTTGAAGGACCCTAAGTCGTATTGCTTTGGAAATAAGCGTATAATATTTTACAAGTTTAACAATAATTTTGACTTCATTGTTTGTTAGTTCTGTAGGTGATCCTGAACTATACTTGAAAGATTTTATTTGATCTTTGATGGAATATTATGAAGACAGTACGTATTATTTTGACTACAAACTTTTAATGTTATTTTGTCAATACCATTACGTGTGTCGGCTGCTGCTAGGAAAGAAATAAAGTAAACAATAAGTTGTTCAAACAACACTGAGTTAATTCTGTTATCATTGTTAGTGCAAGAGCATGTCTCTAGTGGAATTCTCGAAGACATTCCTGCACCGGTGCTGTCACAGAAGTACCAACTCAATAACGCTCTCGAGTTACACGGAGCGAGACTTACATACTAAAGCTGCCGTACTCGCACATTGTTGCTGTTATCCCAATACGGGAAATACAAATTTAATTTCTCAAAGTGCTTTTAGAACTTTGTAATACTCTGTCCTCGGTGGTATTTCCAAACAATTACGACTTAGGTGCTTTCAAGGAAAGAACAACTCCTTCAAAGGTCGGCAACGTATTTGCGGTTCCTCTGGTCGTATATCCATAGGCATTATCAATTAACATTAGGCAATTCGATGCTCGTTTGTCTACGAAAAAAAACTCTTACTGGACTGAAAATAATGTAATCGATGTATATTTGAACGATTTTATATGTGGTGTTCATCGTTGAAGAACGTATTGTCCAAAACAATATTTATTTTGCAACTGTTGATAAAGACGACTGCTAACTAGTTCATTGAGTTATTAGACAATTCCCATATAATACGCTGGACTTTGTATTAAAAAGTCGAAGGTAAAAGAAAGGAAAATAATCAAACTGGTTTATGTTATAGGTTAACTTAAAATTAAATATTATTACAACTCAATTAACTAGTCTTTAAGTTTAATCAACTTAGAAATGTTCTTACTCGTTATTATATGTGGGGATTACTTTAAAATACTATAAAGTTTCGAATGTTATGATCTATATTTGTGATAATTTATACCTTATTACGTTTATATACGTTTTACAATGCTTTATCCGAAGTGTAAGCTTACATCAAACTCGATTGTGACAGCACACCTGGAACAACAAAGATGTCTTTACCATTCCCGGTGAAACTTCGCTGTGCTAGGTCCTTATTGTTAGATTTTGTGTGGGTGCGCCCTAATATTGTAACGAAATTATTGCCTCAGACTATAGGTTGTCTAGTTAGGAAATAAGGGTGACTATAACTAATATTTAAAATAACTGAATGTCTATTTGTATGTTCTTTAACATAGGTATATATTATTCTGGAACTTAAAAAGAGAAAGAGGCAAAAAGAAAAGATTTTCAATAACATAGGTATAGTAAATTCAAAGCACGAAAAAAAAATTACTTGTTTTGAAAAAGGTAGATTCTCATATCAAATTACAAATACCTTTGTACCTTAGTTTTTTACTCTTTTATTTTCCAAAAATAAACAATGACATTGCACTTTTCAAGAACCAATGTTGAAGGAAAATTACACTACACTATCCAACGAAGTATCTGTCGAGAGAATTTACCTCCGAGGTTGTTAGAACGAGTGTCACCATTATGCTGATGCTAGTACGTAGATTAAATTTGCATAGTTATTGCAAAGTGTTACAGTTTGTCAGTCGCTCAAAGTGTCCGCGCCGTGGATAAAATATTGGGCCATATATTGCGCGGTTTGGCAGGTGATAGATGAAATACGCTTTATTTACATTCGAAAGCTCCGCCATTTAAGCGAATACGAGATTGACAACACAAGATTGAAACAAAGAGTTACGTTTAGTCGGTGAAATATTTATACATTTCTCTATATTCTTTTAATGTGTTTTTCCTTTACAAATAATGTTTGATAGAAAGAATACAGGTTCAAAAATCCTTACTAATATCATAAATGCCAAAGTAACTATGTCTGTCAGTCTACCTGTCTGTCTCGCTTTCAGGCTAAAACTACTGAACCGATTTAAAAGAAACTTGGTACACAAATAATTTAGAGTTTGATAAAGGACATAGGGTAGTTTTTTAACGCGAAAAATGGGTTGGTAGGGGTTGAAAGTGGGGGTGGAAATTTGTATAGAGATATCGTCATTTTTACAGTTAGAAGCTTGATTTTTTTTAATGTCAGGGGTGCAAAATAGCATTACGGAATAAGGGATCAAAGTTTGTATTTTACAATATGTGACGTTTGTGCGAATGTTTTTTAATTTGAATATTTTGTTAAATTGCTACCCGAAGACAGTATTTCACGCGGACGAAGTCGCGGGCATCGCTAGTAAATAATAAATCTAACCCAAAAACGATAACAATGCAAAGGGATATTTTATTTATGTTCTTACATAAATAAAATGATTGTAGTAAAGAGCCCTAAGTAGTTGCGGCGTGGTGATCGTTTTTTATTTATGTGGGTCCGACGTAAGCTAAGAAATCTCGTATCGTCTACTATTCCTGATTTACCGTGGCCGCCAGGTAATTTATTGCAGGCCACTCGATATCTGCGGAAATACGTTACATTGACTGTGGATAGCCCGTTTCGGGATTTCATTAAGAATGCTGACATAAGAATAAGTTCATTGTGTTATGTGTTTTTATACTTATTATGATAGAAGTATTGTTCGATATAAAGATTAATCATTACAGATTTGCGCCAAATTTCATCCTTTCCATTTCGATGGCTGGCATTCCACATCGACGAGATTTTCGCGTAACTTTTTACCTCGCACAGCCGCGTTGTGGAACACCCTGTCCTCAGCGGTATTTCCAAACAGTTACGACTTAGGGGCCTTCAAGAAATGAGCGTACACCTTCCTTAAAGGCCGGCAACGCATCTGCGGTTCCTCTGGCGTTGCGGATGTCAATGGGCTCCGGATCAAATAATATTAGGCGATTCGTTGCTCGTTTGCTCCCTTCTCCTGTAAAAAAAAAAAGATTTTTTATGTAATAATTGACTGATTTATAAGTTTCGTTTTACATTATTTCCAAGTTCTAATAATGTAGACGTCTTACATCTCATCGTTATGTTTAAGGCAATTTTGGTGATAACAAGAGTAAGTTCTATTTAAATTAAGCGTTAATAGCCTAATGGGTACGGATTTCCGATCACGGCGCCGTGGGTTCGAATGCCGACATTCGACTATTGTCGAGACCCATATCCTAGCACAAGCATAGTTGGAATGGTAAAAGAAATATTAGTAAATTTACGAAAAAAAATCTGTTAATATTAAAAAAAAAACAAATGTATGGGCGATAGGTATGGCTAGCTAACTGGTAAAGGCCAGTATTTTAAAATTTAAATTGTTGCATGTTTTTATGAATATACTAAAATTTCGTGCTGCATAATTTGATTTACAACGAAGTCTTTGGACTTACGAAAAAAATTCTAAACGGGTACAAAGGAAACTAACTTTTGTGTTAGTTGTAATACAGCTCAGAAGAGTTATTTATGTGCCCGTCTGACACCAGGTGTAAACTTTAAGTGAGGCAACAGGCAAATGCTTTACAATAAATTGCCTCTGTCAAATACTAAATCACTGTCCGTATTGTTCGGAAAACTCAGTGATTGTCATCAACTATTTTGTACTGCAAGATACTTATTTAGTTATGCTGTTAAATAAGATGTCAATATTTATACGTACGTCACAATGTAAACATAAAAATTCGAGTGTCTTTTATTTATATCGAAAAAATCAGCTTTTCAAAATGACTATAGATAATTATATTGTGAACAGCCTTATGTATACTGAAATTTACGATAAAACTAATCGTAATAAGAAAGAAATGTCAGCTAAAGTAAGTATATTTCGTTCAGCTTTATCCTTGTTGAAAGATATTAGGAAGCCGAATTTCTATCGTAGCCACATTTTTAGGAAAGGGATAGAATCATCTGCAATCTTTTTAGCTGTCGCATAATTTAGGAAATAATCATGAAATTAGGTACCTAATAAACAAAAACCACAAAAACAGAAATTAGTTTTGAAAAAAAAAACTTAAAAACGAATCATTCAATATTGCTTATCTCTCGAGCTCATATTATGACAATATTTATATTATTATCACTATTTTAAAACATATTTAATATGATTGAATAATATTATTGTAAGGTTTCATAAACTTCGTTTGTGGAAACAAACATAAAAAGCAAATAATTTTAAGACAAAATAAATAAAAAACAGTTTATAAATTATTATCAAAATATTGTGTTACCAAAAAGTTTAACGAGTTTCGGTTAAGGTCGCTTAATTCAATAACAACAATGCACCCAAAGCAGCTCCCGAATGAGCTCAGGCAAAAACAGCTTTTGACAGGATGGCTTTGGAGCTTATGCGAAAATTTATAGAAAATTGCATGGAACACGCGTTGCGCTTGAAGGGTGCGCGGGAAAATGTCGGGGGGTGTATATTTAGAAAAGCTTAACGCTGGAGATCGTCAGTATACGCCTGGTGCGCGAGCGGAGCGCATGTGTCCCGTCGCCCGGTCCCGGATCGTATCTTACGTCCGATCACGTGATTATCATAAATAGAAAATAATTAATACGGGACTACACGCGTGTTGAGTGCTATGAACTGGATCTGACTGTGCCTGTGCTGTAGTGTGGACGTAATATGTTGAACTAATCGCCTGTTTTATGTGACTGATTGATTACAATTTACAATATATTTACTTTTTATTTAAGTTGATGGACCTTAGAAAACTGCCGTTATTTCTACGAGCTTAAAAGGTACGTAATGTGATAAATAAAATAAATCCCTAAAATGAATCAAATCCGTCTTGTAGTATGTAAGACAAGAAGACTATACTATCTTTTGTTTGTGTGGTAAAGGTCAGTATATTAATGTTATCGCTACTCTCTTCCTTCGATAAAGTATCACGTGTTCGAAAATAAACAATAATAATGCAATAAACATTGGAACGGGTATCGTTCATGAATTTTAAAAGATGTTAGAAAGACTCTCCGTTTTTTTTATTTGACTTGACAAGTCACTTTCCTGGTTGTCGCTAAGTGGTATTTGTCTTTACCGTTTGTAACGGAGTTCGAGGGAAAACTTTACGTGCTGCTGTATCCGGCTGTTTAAGAATTCAGTCCGCTTATTCATAAATTAGTATAGATGCCACGACACCCGATATTGGGAAAGCTTAGTTATTATTATTCAAATAGAAAATGTTAGATGCGAGGCGTTTGATTTATCTGACATTATAGAGCCCGACATACCGGGTTGTTTGACGGGTGAAATGTTTATTGGCGTATCGTTTTTACGTTGAAACATTAGATTCCCGGTCAGTGAGCGTGTCCGGTGAAGTGTTGCGTATGGAATTTCCACTTTACGGACATTGCTCGGCATGAGAATTCGTCTTTATACGACGATATGACGTTAAGGAACCTTGAAGAGCAATCTGGGCCGTAATATCCTATGCGCTGGAATCCTAACGAGAAAATAAAAACGCATTGGAATTTCTATTTTACTGGATCATTTTTCTATTTTGCTAACAACTCGGCAGTAACCTATTTTTTTTTTTAGAGAAATAAAAATATATTGTTCTTTTATTAATGTACGTAACTATATTTCCTGTGTATATGTTATTTATTATTGATGCTTTTTGCGATTTATGTAATTAATTGTGATTGAAAATGTTATTATTGTATTATGATTAATATAAAATATTATGTATTTAATTTAAGTGTCTTACATTTTGGTAGTTCAAAGTTTATATTTGTTTCAGTACCGAATTAGAATAATGTTTACAATGATAGTTTACTTAATTAAGTTATACAAACAAATCTGTAGCATTAATTGAATTGCGGACTAAAGTTAAAGTAAAACTTAAGCTCTTAAGTAAAGCTCACGAAGGTCACGTAAAAAACTTAGTATGTAATTTATTTTCAGTGTATCATTTTTCGTAATACGTTAACGAGTAACGCGTCCATTGAACCGTGTTGGAACAATCATCTTGTACTCTGGGCGACGTCTTGTTTTATAAATTACTGTGTCGAGTTTCTTTCACAAGAGTTTTTCGAGCAAAAAATCGTTAGAAGTGCTCCGTATTATCTCTTTTTTACGAACACGTGCCCTATATAATACTTAAGACACTTCATCTATTTTATGTTATCGTATTGAACGTACGATTTTTGTTGTTAGTTGGTAGAAAAATTACTTTTAATTTCTCGTAATATTAATTCAAAAATTGGTAAATGTCTTTAAATGCTACAAAGGTACGTGCACTTTTCAATCAAAGGTTGTTTAAAATACACTTTTAAAGCTATATTTTTTCTATAGAAAAAATATAATTTTTTGGGTTATGTTATAACATAACCCAAAAAAGCAGAAAAAAAATATTTCTAACCTTAATTCATGCCTTAACGTTTCCCACGGGATGTATAAAATTTATGAAACAATCAGTTATAGAAATTTTGTAGAAGATTTCGCCTTAAATTTAATAGTTGGTTGTTGCTGGTCCGGTCTACTATTACCACCAATTAGTCGAATCAGAGCGGTGTTCTTTGATAGCCGGCGGCTGTAAACAGAAAATTGATCCAACCGAACCGCCCCGAGACCCGAGTACGGCCCATCTGATCTGACCGCATCTAGATTGATTTGTGTGACCGTTCGTAATATCTTAGATCGACAAAGTTTATTTACTATTAATTAATTGTAACCGATCATGTTGACAATTTAACATTAATATTTGTATATTTCTTATGATTTAAAAATATATAATAAGTAAGTAAAATTGTACAACGATGTCTACCATAAGAAAACTTTATTGTATTTAGTGATTAGTATGGTCTTCGAATTTAATGTTATAAATTTTATAAACAATTCTGCAACAAAAGTCTAGGGAATAGATCGTTTTGTACTCATTTAGTCGCTCTATGGTTAAAGATAAGGATCGCGAAATATGAGATCGTGGGTACGAATCTCTCATTCGACTTAATTGTACATTCGGCTACTGCAGGCTAATGTTTTCTAAGATAAAAATATTTAAACACGTTTATTTATTGCAAATTAAAACTATTATTGAATGTATCAAAGGATTTATGTATATAAACAGTTAACCTCGCAACCTAAAAGTCAAGAAATTCTTATATATAGAACAGTCAAGAGCTTATTGGCAAACTTAATACCTTATAATGTTCAAGATGAAGAAAGAATCACGATTTTATTCCATTATCGGTAGCTGCCAGCGGCTGACCTAACGCAGTTCCCGTGTAATCCTCATTCGACAAAAGCCGTTAGAAGTTCACCGCGCAACTCAAAACTTTCTTTTTACATTATACAAATATTCCATTTTGAAGTTACTGAATGTATTCCGTGAGATTTATGGAAATTAAGATGTTGCTAAAAAGTCATCTCATTGAAAAAAAAATAATATTAAAATGAAGATACATTAAAGTGTTGCTAATTGCTTAACACATGACTAGTAACATGCAAGTCCTGGGTTCGAATCCCGCCATGTACCAATGTGTTTTTCGATTCACATATGTACATTTATTCGACGTTCTAAAGGCGAAGGTAAACATCGAGATGTAACCTGCACATATGAGCAAAAAAAATTCAAACATATCTGTGAATTTCTGGGAGATAAAGGTGGCGACGCAGCTTGCCACTCGTGAGCGGAAGGTTGGTTCGTTAAGCCACTTTAAATAGAGGTCCGTGGTCTCTGCCTACCCCTCTGGGTTACAGTTAGTTGTGTTGTATAATTGCTTATCCATAGACTATTTGAAGATCTATTAATTATCGATTGATTGCGTATTTAGTAACATTATATGTACGTCATTAGAAAGCAATCGATAAAATCGATATTAAAAAAGTAATATCGATTTTATAAAACGGATAGGTATTTTGTAACCACTTAAAGAACACGAAAAAGCTTTTTCATATAATTAGTGAGCAAATTAAAACTTAATAGCCAGTTGTAACCTCTTGACGCTTCAATATTATATCCCATGTTTATGTCCACTAAACGTGTTACGATCAAAATACGATCGAATTAATATTTATATTTATTTCACATCGATACAATCAAAGATGTAAGAGTGGAAGATTGTAAAGACCCTAAGCGTCAGTTTTCAAACGAGATCTTAGACATGTCGATAAGACTATAACGTAAAAAAATCACCATTCAGAAAATGTTTCACCACGCCTAAGCGAACCAAAAAAGTTAAGTTGCCGAATTGTTAATCTGTAATCATTATCCTCGCTCACTATACGTCACCACCGTGGGGCTCGGGGCCTTCCCTAACTTAGGGGTGAGTAGGCATAGTCAACCACACACATATCTTTTGAATTTCTTCTCAGATATGTGTAGGTTGCATCACGATGTTTTCCTTCGCCGTATGAACGTCGAAGAATCTGTAATCAACCACTTCGTATTTGCCATAACCGTACGCAAAGATAAATAATTATAATAAGACCAATTACTTTTACTACATTATGTTGGATAAAGACGGATAAAATTTTCTTTTGAGATTATTTCTACTGTTACTAATTACATTTGCAGCACATTAACTGGACATTAAGATACATGACCGGTGTAGTTTTTTTGTAGCCATCACTCGCACTCGCAAGCTCTGTGATACTTTTGTTTTTTAATTCTCGCTTACAAAGCACTGGAATAATTAAGTTGAGTCAAGTCTTTACTCAGAATCGTATTCGTTAAGATGTGTTAAGTTTGACATATTTAAAAAAATAAAGAAGGGCTGCGCTTTTTCATTGGGTTGGAATTAAACTAATATTTATGTTAATCAAGAAATATTTGTATCTCGAACCAAAGTTAATCCACTGTGTACTTTAAAGAGTACACATTCCTAATGTAATAATATTTGTAAAAAATCAAAACAAATGAGTCACCCACTACAATAATATGCATAATAAGACTATAATTTTTCGCTACACAGAACATATTAAAGAAGAATGAAATTAGTAGCCAGCGAAATTGAGGATTGAATTATAAATATTGCTACCGCTCGTTGTAAATATATGGGGTGAAAGAAAAACTTAGTACGTCTATTATATTGGCATATAATGAATGTGCGTTCATACGGACGTGGGTACGGATCGTATGAATAAGTTATTTGCACACTGCCGCCACAGGGCTGCCATTGTTACTTTTACAAATATCATTTTTATAGAGTTTTATATTAATTATTTTTATTTGTTCCCATACGTTTGGTATATTTCATAAATATGATAATGCTAAATTAATTATTTATTCCGTATATTTCAAGTTTTTGTAAGTTTAGTCTTAGGCAAAACAATTTTTGTGTAAGTAACACGCTACTTAACTTGTCGTTATTATGAAGACAAGATTATAATTAATAAGTAGGTCGCTACACTAATAAAGACGATTAACCGTGGGTTTCTGAGACCAACTTCTCTGTATAAAACATATCGTCATCTCTTTCAACAACTTTGACAAAACAGAGATAACAATACCTTGTTAACGAGGATTTTGGTTTCAGAAATCCAGGGTAGAATATTCTGACAGTGGAAATCTATGTTTAATAAGTCATATAATTTATTTAAAAGTATACTTTCAGACCATCAATCACTGTAGCATAAAGACACCATCACGTCATCAGATCATGGCATCAGTCTTGACACAAAGATGTCAGATCTAGAGGTGACCCTAGCTCACGTATATTCGCTTCACGGGCTTCGTAGTTGTAAGCTGTCTATACGTGTTATAATAATTTAGTCTGCATCCAAACCACACAAAGCG